AGCCCAGGCTGGCCTGGAACTCTACCCCGCAGAATGCTGTGATCACAGACTCATCATCATGTCTGCCTCTGAAGGTTTTAGGAAAGACGCCCCCGGCTACAGAGAAGCAAAGTCACACCCAGAGACTACTGTGAAGAACCGTGTAGAAGCCGTGACAGTAGCCCAGGGCCTCACAGGGGAGCTGCGGAGAAGGCAAACTTGCAGGCCATCCGTGAATGTTAAAGCACTCACAGGCTTGTCGGGCGTGGTGGAACACGCCTCTAACCCCAGAGACAGAGGCAGGCAGATCTCTAAGTGCCAGGCCAGGCCAGCTACGACATCAGGGGTCCTGTACAAGCCAGGCCCCAAGCTCATCGCTTTCCACAGATTATTTTTTAATTCTCACACTGGCCCAGGGGCGGAACCAGTATCTGAGACTCTTTACAGGTGAGATACGGGCGGCCTAAGAATCTGCCCTGCTCCCCAGCGGGAACGCATGAGGCTGGTGGGCAGCCCTGGCCTCACCACAAAAGCAAGGAGACGGCGGGTGGGGGATCGTGGCAGTTGTAAGGGCTCCGGTGACCACTGCTGGAGGAGGAGAGAGGGAGGACACAGGCCCACCTTGTAGTATCTGTTGGTCGTGTTGTTCTGGAAGAGGGTGATACATTTGCAGTCCAGGCGCCAGTAGTGCCGCTTCCTCTGAGGGAAAGTCAGGGGCAGGGTGAGGTTGACAGCCAGGTGGTTTGCAAACGCAATGCCCAGCCGAGCTCCTCCCCTAGCTGGGACTGTGGTTCTGCTCAGCCTCACCCATCCTGCTGCACATCCTGCCCAGCCTCCTTCCTCTAACATACCCTCGATTCCAGCACTGCCTGTGGAACCCCGGCTCTTAGACCCACCTTAACCTGGACTTTCCCAGCCCTCCCCTCTCTAACTCCGCCCACCTAGACCCCACCCATCTGGCCACCGAGTATGCCATCCGCTCAAGCTTTTTCAACAAACCTATAAATCTAGTCACACCCAGCTAGCCTCACCTACCCACTTTCCCGGCCCGCCCATCATTCTGACCACGCCCACCCAGGCACCCATCCATCATTCTGACCACGCCCACCCAGACACCCATCCATCATTCTGACCACGCCCACCCCAGACACCCATCCATCATTCTGACCGCGCCCACCCAGACACCCATCCATCATTCTGACCACGCCCACCCAGACACCTATCCATAATTCTGACAAGGTGGGAGATTCTGTCCATACAAGCTTCAGGGATCCCTGTCAACTCAAGTTCTTCCAGCCCACCCAGAAACTTAGCCCCACCCACTTGTCCCCACCCACCCCTAACTAGCCCCACCCCCATCCCACCCCCAACTCACCAGTGTGTCCTTGTTGCTGTAATGGACCACCCAGCCCTCCCGCAGGGTGGTGCTGGACTTCCGGGTCGTGTGTCTCACAGACTGTACCACCCGCATCAGGGGGATATATCCCAGTGAGCTGCGGAGGAACGGGCCAGATGTTAGACGTCACATGCAAAAATAATGTCCTGCCTGGGGCCACAGGGACACCTTTGAGCAGTCGTGTGAAAATGCTGTTTCTTTGCCTACTGAGTTTTTAGATTTTCATAGCAAGGGGACTCTTGCTTTTATAATTTGAGAAAAAAATATTTTCAGTGTTTGTGTGAGTGATCGCATGCCATGTGTGTGGGTGTGCCTTAAGGCAGAGGAGGATGTCAGATCCCCAGGAGCAACAGTTACAGTCATTGTCAGCCTCCTGCCGTGGGTGCTGGGAACTGAACCCAGGTCCTCTGCAAGAGCAACAGGGCTCTTAACCACCGAGCCGCCCTCTAGCCGCCCCCCAGGATTCTTTTCGCTTACTATTTTATGTGTGTGTGTGGGGGGGGGTCTGTTCCATCACTGGAAAGCGAAGGAGGTGAAGGACAGCTCTGTGAGGTCACATGGCTGACAGGGATTAAACACCTTTACCCACGGAGCCATCTTGCTAACCTGGCTATGTTTATTTTCTTTTTAGATCTATCTGTTTGAGTTGGCATAGTGGTGCATGCTTATTAGTCCCAGTACTTGGAAGGTGAACCTCTGAGTTCAAGGTCAGCCTGGACTACAGAGTGAGTTCCAGGACAGTCAAGGTTACACAGGAAAAAGCTTAGCTAAAAAAAAAAAGAAAAGAAAAGAAAAAAAGATTTCTCTTATGTTATGTGTATGAGTGTTTTGCTTGCACAGCATGGTGCCTGAAAGAGCCAGAAGAGGGTGTCAAATCCCTTGAGACAGCAGTTACAGGTGGTTGGCCACAGGGTGCTAGGAACTGTACCCAGGTCCTCTGGAAGAGCAGCCAGTGTTCTTAGCCTCTGAGAAGTCTCTCCAGGCCCTGGCTTTGCCTTCTAAGAGAATTCCGTGTGACCTGGGCTGGCACTGGCCCTCCTGCCCCTGTCTCCTGAGTCCTAGACTACAGGTGTACCCTGCCACACTTCGTTTATACAGGGCTAGGGGTCACCCAGGCCTTCCTGCTGGCTAGCCAGGCACTGTACCTAACTGAGCCCCAGCCCCAGCAGGAAGGTGACTCTTGAGGAGGCCGGCTTCTCAAGCCAGCTACAGGTTAGGCTCCTGTCTGCCACGCAGAAGGCCCTGGGCTCTGGCCTCAGTACTACAATATTACAAAAGCAGGCTGTCTAGCAAGTACCTGACGGCTCTGTGCCGCAGTCTCCAGCTTCCCAAGGAGCTGGGCACAGAGCCTGGCTTACAGACGACCTCCAGTGATTGTGACCTGGCATCTGGACTCTGTCTTGGAAGCCCTGAGCCTGCCTCCCTCTGGCCACACAGCGGCATGTTCACCGCTACTGCTGAACACGCCACCTTTCCTGGACCCTCGCTCAAAGAGGCACGGCTCTCTCTCTTTTCTACCTAACCACTCAGGGCACTGGCTGAGATGTACAGTTGGCTGTTTTTCTTTCAAACGCTAATAAATTGTCCTTGAACTTTAAAAAGAAAGAAAGCAAAAACAAAATCTTTTAAATGATCAAGGAAGAAGCCGGCAGTGGCGGCAAAACCCTGTAATCCCGGCACTCAGGAGGCAGAGGCAGGCAGATCTCCGAATCTGAGGCCAGCCTGGTCTACAGAGCAAGTCCCAGGACAGCCAGGGCTACACAGAGAGACCCTGTCTTGAACATCCCCCTGCCCCTCCCTCCAAAAAATTAAATGTTTTTTAAAAAGAAAAGAAGCAATAGAGAGAACCCAAAGATAAGGCGGGACTCAATCATACACTAACATCAGCCATCTTAGAGACAGGAAAGCAGAGATTTGTTGGGGGCCGGGAGCAGGGAGCCTCCTGAAGGGGCCCTGGGTACCTCTGGGCCTTGCCTCCCTCGCCTTCCTCCTCCTCGCTGGCATGGAGAGCATTCTCTGAGTGGGAGCCTGGGATGACACCAGAGTCATCCAGATCGTCTGAGAGGGAGCTCTTGTCGGCCTCACTGTAATCGGTGGCCTCCTCCATCGGCACGTCTGTTGGGGACAGGGGCATCAGAAGGGCCTCCATCCTGTCCCGCCCCGTCCCTCTTGGATGCCGAGAGTCTTACCTCCATTGATGAGTGCCTCCCCCAGACAGTCGTTAGGGACGCGGGTAGCACATCGTTTGTGACAGTTGAACTTGCAGTCTGAGGGGACGGGTGGGAAAGGAGAGAGTTACTGTGCGTGCATGACAAGGTCTCACTATGTAGCCTAGGCTGGCTAGCACCTAATTCCTGGCAATCCTCCTGCCTCAGCATCAATAGCGCTAGGATTACACTATAAAGATTGAGGCGATAGCTCCACAGGTAAGAGCCACAAGTATAGACTCATCTATCTATCTATCTATCTATCTATCTATCTATCTATCTATCTATCTATCTATGTATCTGAGCTAGGGTCTCTTGGTAGTTCAGACTGGCCCAGAACCTGCTATGAAGCCAAGCATGATCCTCTTGCCTCCAACCCCCAAGTGCTGGGTTTATAGGCATGGGCCATCAGGTCAAACTTTTTTTTTTTTTTTTTTTTTTTAATTTATTATGTACACAGAAGAGGGCACCAGATCTCATTACAGATGGTTGTGAGCCACCATATGGGTGCTGGGAATTGAACTCAGGACCTCTGGAAGAACAGTTGGTGCTCTTAACCTCTGAGCCATCTCTCCAGCCCCCAAACTTTTTTTTTATTAGATGTATTTATTTAGTTAATTGTGGGTGGGGGTGGGGGTGTATGCATGCACAGGTGTGTACATGAGTGCCATAATGTGCGTGTAGATGTCAGGGGGCAACTTGTGGGAGTTGGCTCTCTCCTTCTACCACGTGGGGCCTAGGGACTGAACTCAGGTCATGAGGTTTGGCGGCAAGCGCCTTTAATCTGTTGAGCCACCCCAATGGCCTGGGCCTTTTTATTTCTCCTCTTTCTTCCAGATATTTTCATTGTTGTTTTGAAGATCTCCCGAAGCCTAGCTGGCCAGGAACTGGGTAAGGCAGGAGGTGACTTAACCCCAGGCTGATTACAGACTTGTGTGCTACTGTCTGGCTCAAAGGTGGGGTCCTGAGGATGGAACCCGGGGCCTCTGGTGTGCTAGGTGGGCACTCTACTCTGAGAGCGACGTCTCCAGCCTCCTCATAACATTTCATGTAGCTCAGGTTGGCCTCAAACTTTATAGCCAAGGCTAGTCTTAAACTCCTGACCCTCCTGCCTCAACATCTCAAGTGCTGGGTGGGATTACAGGTGTGTAATTCCAGAAGTCTTGAATATATATCTGTAGATAGATTTGGTTTTGCAAGACAGGGTTTCTCTGTATAGCCCTGGCTGTTCTGGAACTCACTCTGTAGCCCAGGCTGGCCTCGAACTCAGAGAGATCCCCCTGCCTCTGCCTCACAGGTACTGGGATTCAAGGCGTGGGCCACCATGCCCAGCTCCAGAAGTCTTGAATCTCCTGGTTCTAAGGTTCCCTGACTCTCAGATTCTTGGGTTTTACAGTGAGGATTCTATCCTGTTCTAGGAATCTAGATTTCCAAGGACTTAGGGTTCCAGAACTCCAGTGGCTTCCAGGATGACATGGATATGAGGCCCTGCGCTGCTCTGGGTGGGATCGTCAGACCCACAGTCTTCTCAGCTGGTCCCACTGACCTTTGCACTGCAGGCCCTGGCGGAATAGACCCTTGAGCAGCTTCTTGCAGGCCTGGCAGACGGTGGGCCGTGTGTAGCTGTGTATAAGGAAGGTGTGTGGCACCTTAACCTTGGACATCAGCATCTTGTCCAGCTCAATGGGACGGCCTGTGTAGAAGGAAGAGGAAGAGGAGGAGGACGACGACGAGGGGGGTCTGCGAGGAAGGAGGTCGGTGGTGCTCCGGCTCTACCCAACAGCGAGGGTGGAAGGAACGCATGAGTGTATTAGCACCTGCCTGGCCCCATCAGCCCCCAGCCTCCAAGCCTCCCCACTCTCCGGCCCCTCACCAGCTCCTCAGCGGTGCACGGTAGGGACTCGGAGCTGCCTAGGCGCACAGAATGGCCACTGGCCAGGGACGTGGATGACAGGCGGCGCTTGCGAGCCCCGCTGCAGTTGTTCGGGATGCTGAAGGCACAGCGTTTGTGGTAATTCAGCCCGCAGCCTGTAGGGGGCGCAAGACCATCAGAGCCAAAACCTGCATTCACTACTAGGCAGGCCCCCCATCTCAAGAAATCACCCTGTGCCTCAAGCACACAGGTGTACTGTCCTGTCTCCCACAGCAAAAGTCCCCAAGACTCAGTGCTGCAGCTGGAGATATTTTGTGTACTGGATTCAAGTCCACATCCTGTTGATTCTAGCCTGGTTGATGAACGCCCCTGATGTTCACTAGACCCAAAGCTGTGAAGAGCTATAATGATTGCCAGCCTGTAGAATTCAGCCTGTGATCTCAGACAGGCTGCCCTGAGGATTGTGGCCTGGCCAGCCTCGAAGTCCTACAGGCCAGTTCTTCCAGATAAATAGTTGCTATTTCTCTCCTTCTGTTCTCTTTCTTTGCTTGGTCCCTGACTGACACGGGCTGGCTCTTCCATCACCTCACCTCGAGATCTCAGCAGTGGCTAGAGTACTTGTTACTCTTGTAGGGGACCCAGGTTCAGTTCCTAAAGCCCATGCACGTGGTGCAACAGACATATAGTCAGGCAAAACACCCATGCATATAACATATAAATAAATAATAAGTAAAAAAAAAAAAAATTCCCTAAATGCTTACTCTGGGAGCCCCATCTTCCTATGCTCTATCTCCAGATCTGAACCAGACCTCTGCTCTGTCCAGGAACCCTTAACTTCAGTTACCAAGGATCTCCTCCTAGGCCCTGCATCCAGAGTCAGGAGCCCAGGCCTCTCACTCTTCCGCAAACTTAGCCCAAGAGCCCTAACCTAGCCCACTAGCCCCACCCCTGGGCTCCGCCCACAGACTTGAATCCCACCCTCCTCCCCAGTTCTCTCTCAGCATTTGCCTCGCCCATCTTCTAAGCTCCACCCCTTGACCTGAGCCCAGTCCGAGCCCCAGCCTTCCCAACCTCCCGGGTTCCGCCCAGTCCCTTAGCCCCCTCACCATCGCACTTGAGGCCCTGGCGCACAAGACCGAAGAGCATCTCCCCACAGTGGTCGCAGAAGGCCGGAGCACGGTACGAGTGCACAGTGAGAGCATGCGGGCGGATCTGGAAGTCCTCGAAGGTGGCCGAGGCTGTGGGCAAGGAGGGACATACACTTGAACCAGAGGGTAGATGTGAGTTCCAGAACAGCCAGAGCTACATAGTGAGGCCCTGTCTCGAAAAAAACCAAAATAAATAACTAGAACAAAATAGTCCTGGAGCCAGCGAGACAGCTCAGCAATAAACAAGTGCTTGCTGCCAACGCTGATGATCTGAGGCCCGATCCATGAGCTCCATTTGGTGTATCAATTCCCAGAAGTCGTCCTCTACACACACACACACACACACACACACACACACACACACACACACACACTAAATAAATGTAAAACAGATTTGGTGGGCTGAGGGTATGGCTCACTGGTACAGACCTTGTCTTGCATGTGCAAGGTGCTAGGTTCAGTCCCCAGTATCACAAAGGGAGGGGGCTAACCATCTGGGTCTGACGGTTCACATCTTTAATCTCAGTATTCCAGGGGCAGGCAGAGGCAAAAGGAGCTCTTTGAGTTCCTGGCCAGCCAGGGCTACATAGTAAGACCTTATCTCAAACAAATAAACATAAACTAGCTAATTGGTTTCCCCAAGACTTCTAAAGGCGCACACCTCTTGATGAGTTCCTCCCCACCTTTTTAAGATTGTTGACTTTACGGTTTTTTATGTGTATGGTGTTTTGCCAGCATTTATGCCTGTGGAGGTCAGAAGAGGGCGTCAGATCCCCCTGGGACCGGAGTTACGGTTTGTGAGCTCCCAGTGCTCTGAAGGAGCAACAAGTGTTCTTCACCACTGAACCAACTATCCAGCCCAAATGTCTCACTCTTTAGCCCAAGCTGGCCTTACACGTACAGCGCTTCTCTTGTCTGTGCCTCAGGAACGTTGGGGTTACAGGTGAGCCCCACCATGCCCACCCTCAGCCACCCCTCCCAGAGGCCTGGCCCCGTGCCCGAGGCCCCGCCCCCAGGGTGACCGCCGCTTCTCACCCGACAGAACCACCTCCACCAGGTCGCCCTCCTGGATATCTGCAGCCGATCGCACCAGCTGCAGGAGGTTGGCCGATGTGGGGTCATGTTTGAAGAGCAGGATCTTGTCGTACAGGCCGTAGAAGCCACACTCCGGGAACTGAGGGGCAGGGAGGGGGTGGCGACAGAAAAGCTCAGAGCTGCCTGCGGCAGCCGCAGCCTCCTTGAACCCTCTAGGGGCAGAACTGGCTGTTTCCCCCGGAAACCGAGACCCTGCAGCCCACCGCTTCCTGCCTGGCCCCTCCCAACCCCAGCTCGCGCCAGCAGGATGCTGGGGCCCCAGGTGTGCTGGGTCGGAGCACCGGCCAGTCTGGTGGCGCGGACGGCAGGGGGCCGGCTGAGGGCCAAAGCTCGGGGGAGGCGGCTTAAAGGCTCCAGGGGCAGAATAGACACTTTGAATTTTCCAGAGCTGGCGGGACACTGAGTGATCACCCCCTCCTCTTTCGGCCACATCTCCACCCCAGCTTCCTTCCTGAATCCATTGTCCCTGTTACCTGGCTCGTAGCCCAGTATTGGAGCAGAATGAACTAGAAAGGAAGGGGGGGGGGCTAGGGGTTTTGGGGAGGGGTGTTCAAGATAGCCAGAGGTAAGGAGGCCTCCCCTCATCCAGTGCTCCAAAACCCAGGTGTCCGGGTCCCAGCTTGGGAAGGGGCAGGAAATGAAACCCCGTAAAACAGAAAGTGAAACCGCCCAGGTGGGGCACCAGGACGGAAGGCAGGCAGGAAGGGGCCCTAAACAGCACCTGTACCCCGGGAAGAGCAAAAAACAAACTAGGCTGGGCCTGAGGAGGGGAGGCTGGGGATCTGAACTCTGGTACCAAGAATCTCACTCCAGGCACAATGTACAGGAGCCCCGGCCCTGCCTCCCATTAAGCCGGCTGGTTTAAGAATGAGAGCTGGGTGCCGGGCGGTGGTGGCGCACGCCTTTAATCCCAGCACTCGGGAGGCAGAGCCAGGCGAATCTCTCTGAGTTCGAGGCCAGCCTGGGCTACCAAGTGAGTTCCAGGAAAAGGCGCAAAGCTACACAGAGAAACCCTGTCTCGAAAAACCAAAAAAAAAAAAA